GCCCCAGAACAGAGTCTAATAGATGGTGCATTATATTCGTGCTATTTAGATGGCTCAGGCCTCAGGTCCCATCTCTTTCTGAAAATACAGAGTCTCGGTGAGGGCGGCCACCCAATGTTGGAGGAAGGATGCAGCAGCGGAGGATCAACAGGATCGCCGGGCGGTGCCATTGTCATTTGTCCATCTTTGATAGAGTTCTCATGGCCAGCACTTCTTGTCCAGGTGGCTTATCTGGTTGAGTGATCAGGATCTTCATCAATGGCAGGTCTGAGCCCCTGTTTCTTTGCCCTGGCCAAAGGGGTTACTGCCTTTACACCTGGCACCGCAATCTACTAAAATCGAGGTTGGATGGCCATTTGCTAAACAGTTACTTCTTGCTGACGCCAAGGCAGTTGCTGAAACCAGAGTGTCTTCCTAGGAGGGGAGCCATTTTGTTTCGATTTGAGCAGTGCTTTTGCCCAAGCATGGTAACTGCAGGCCCCGAAACCTGTTTGCTCTCGTTATCTCCATTTGTCCAATATCTGCTATTGATCTGTTTGGCATTCGCGAGGGACCTTTTGTTTCCATCACGCTGCTTAATTGGTAGTATCGTAAGTTTGAGGTTGTGTGCTTTTGCCTTTGGTTACCGTGCTCTCTCCACAGTGTTGCAGTAAGTGTTTCGACCTGAAGATGGATGTGGTCTGCCAGTCTATTTTCTGTTTCTAAAAAGCACTAATAATTTGGGTTATAGGCCATAAGTTCTAAAAAAGGTGGCAGTGCCATGTGAAGGCCTGACATGTGTGTTCCTTAAAAGTGGTTTCTAAGTGGTCCAGATATTCAAGGCAGATTCGTTACAGCCTAGAGTTACAGGACAGAGGTAAGGGGGATGCGGGGATATAGCCCCTGGGGACAAAACTATAAATAAGAATGTTTATCCATGCCACATGGGTCCTAGTTCTTTATGGTGCTATTTTCTGATCAGAATAGAAAGTAACACATTTACTAAAATAATGACTCAATGCACCTGAGATCATGTTAATTTGCACTAGCAATGACAGCACGACCGACCCGGCAGCTACAATATGAGATGCTACTGTGGAAACTTTGATGTCATTACAGTCCTTCTTTGAAGATCTGCATGTTTCCTGTTGATTGGTGATTTGAGTGGGATCTGATAGAGATAAGAACTGCTAAGTGTTTTGCTCTTTAATGGTTACACATTTCCACACCTGGCCACAGCAGCCAGAGCTCTGTGCACGGTTTGTTTGTTTATTTATTTATTTATTTATTTGTCTCCTTTCTTGCTTTTTCTTTTGGTATATTTTATTGATTGTGCTATTATAGTTGTCTCAGTTTTTTTTCTCTGCTTTATTCCCCTTTGCCATGCTTCCCGTTTCCCACCATCATCCTGCCTGTATTTCGTGTCCAGGGGTTCTACATATAAGTTCTTTGGCTTTTCCATTTCGTATACTATTCTTAACCTTCCCTATCTATTTTGTACCTACTGTTTATGCTTCCTATTCCCTCTACCTTTTCCTCCATTCTTACGTCTCTCTCTCTCCTCTGATCTCCATTTCTGTGATTCTGTTCCTGTTCTAGTTTGCTTAGTTTCTTTTTCTTTTTTAGGTTCAGATGTGGAGAATTATGAGTTTATCATTTTAGTGTTCATAGTTTCTGATCTTCATCTTTTCTTAGATAAGCACCTTTAACATTTCATATAATGTGGTCTTGGTGATGATGAAACTCCTTCAACTTCACTTTATCTCAGAAGCACTTTATCTCCCTTTCCATTCTAGATGATAGGTTGGCTGGATAGAGTAATCTTGGATGCAGGTCCTTGTCTTTTATGACTTTGAATTCTTTCTAGCCCCTTGTTTACAAGGTTTCTTTTGAGAAATTAGCTTATAGTCTTATGGGAACTCCTCATAGGTAACTGTCTCCTTTACTCTTGCTTCTTTTAATCTTTTTTCCTTAGCTTCAATCTTGGATAATGTAATTATGATGTGCCTCGGTGTGTGTTTCCTTGGGTCCCACTTCTTTGGGACTCTCTGAGCTTCCTGCATCTCCTGGAAGTCTGTTTCCTTTGCCATTTTCGGGAAGTTCTCCTTCGTTATTTTTCCAAATAAGTTTTCAATTTCTTGGTCTTCCTCTTCTCCTTCTGGTACTCATGTGATTCAGATGTTGGTATGTTTAAAGTTGTTCCAGAGGTTCCTAAGCCTCCTAATTTTTTTGTATTCATGTTTCTTTATTCTGTTCTTGTTGAATGTTTATCTCTTCCTTCTGCTTCCAGTCGTTGATTTGAGTCCCAGTTTCCTTTCCTTTATTTTTGGTTCCCTGTAGATTTTTCTTTCACTTTTCATAGCCTTCACTTTTTCCTCCATTTTGTTACTATATTCAACCAATTCAGTGAACGTCGAGATTACCAGTATTTGAACTGTTCATCTGATAGGTTGACTGTGTCTTCATCAGTTACCTCTACTTTTGGAGCTTTGATCTGTTCTTTCATTTGTGTCATATTTTTTTTTCTCTGCATGCCTATTATGTTGTAGGTGGAGGAGCTTTCGTTATTCGCCGGCGTGGGGCAACCCACATCCTTGAGTTGTTATGCTGTTGGTGGGGGAGGGGTCTGTGAGGGAACAATATTGCTGGCTTGGCTCCCAGCCAGCTCTCAGTCACTTTCACTGCTACCTACAAGGAAGTTGGGCCCTTCTCGTGCTGATTCCCAGGTGGTTCGGTTTGTGAATTTTCTAGAGCCCTGTGGGTTTCTCCAGTGAACTCTTTTGTGAGGCTCGGAGTTTTTCCCACTGCTTCAATCCCTCCAGGTTTTTACAGCCAGATGTTTTGAGGCAGTCTTTTGCCATAGTGGAACCCAGGATTGCTCAGCCTTTCTCGCTCCCCAGCAGTTCCTTCTGCTCTATACGCATGCAAATGTGAGATCACTCAGTTCTCCATCAGCCACCTTCCCAAATGTCCTTCCGCCCCGGCTGTCCCTCTCTGCCCCTCCTACCTGTCAGGATGAATGTTTCTTCTCTAACTCCTTGGTTGTTGGACCTCCATACAGTTCAGTTTTCTGTCAGTTCTGGTTATTTTTTTAAAAATTTTTTGTTGTCCTCCTTTTGGTTGTGCGAGGAGGCAAAATGTATCTACCTACACCTCCATCTTGGCCGGCAGTCTATGTTTGGTCATTTTTTTATTGAAAGGTGGATGTTATGAATAATACATTGAAGAGATTTGAACTTTTGGCCATTATTGGCTGTTCATTTAGAACTTGGGTTTGTGCTTTATAAGGGAGGAACTTTGGAAAGGTTTTGGTGTTTCCTAAACCCTTTGTGGGTCTCATTCTCCAAATTGTCTCTCCAAAGAATCTTGTCAGAACTTAGTTTTAAGCTTTTTTGAGTGAGTCTAAAGTAGGTCTTCCCTTTGGCATAAAGAGCAACCTTTTTTGTGTCTTCAGCTGCGTGTCAAGGTAACAACTACGTGTTACGTTGTCTCTGTCAAGGGCTGAAAATCTAATATTTACACTGCTTTTCCTCTGCACTTCTTGACTCTGTTCCATGCTCAATTCTATAGCAGTTGGCTGTTAACTAGTGAGCCTTTGGTGGTCTTGTCCAGTACACGTACAGCCTAGTTAGTCTTCAGTGAACCTGCGTGTTTTGCAGAATTAGTGACTGCATGTTTTGAAGAATTTGTGACTGCATGTTTTGCAGAATTCTACAGGGAATCTTTTATTCACCAAAGATCTCTGAAGACTGGAGCATTTTTACATGAAGTTGTTCTGCCAACTTTGCATCCCATCTAAGAATTATTCTTAAATTCTCTTGAGCATGTGTCTTATATTATTTGGGTGAAGGCCATTATTGTTTCTTAAAACCATTTTATAACTTTTGATCATTTCATAACTATACTTGAAAATAATTTACTTTCTTCTAGCAACTTAATAGAATTTTGGTCATCTATATATATATTTACTACAAACTCCTGGTAAAACTATAAGTGAATTTTAGAGGATTGTTTCATTCCATACTTACCCATTATTTTGAAAACCTGCAACTTGCTACTTCTCAATATGTAAGCACTGTGTTAGTAGTGCTGCTGTGGAGTGTTTGTCTTGGAGTAGATTTTAGTTCTCTTAGGAACCATGGAATTTGATAAGTGAAACCATGTAGACTATTTAGTCCCACTTTTTATTATTACTTATGAAGGAATTAGTGCTCAGATGGCTTCAATGATACACAGCTCGTTAGTAAAAGAGTTTCCAAATGTCATGGTAAACTTACATTATTCCCAGTCCTATGTTCTCTGAGCCTCTTACTATCTTGTTCCCTCAATATCACAGAACAATCAAAGCAGATAAATGGGAGTTCCTGTCAGAAGGGGGAAGAAGCATTTATGTTCTTCCCTTTTACCCTACCTTTATTCTGGTGCTTGGTAGACACCAGACTAACTGAAGGAGCAGTGATCCAGCTGTAGTTGAACGAAGTTTTATTACCTGAAAGGGCTTTGCTCAAGGTAGCTATGGGGAATGTCTTTTCATTCTTAAGCCCAGGCTCATTTCTCATGTGCAGGACAAGTCATCTTGGTCTGTTTTTTTCCTTTTAACAGATTGTAAAGTCTCCACCTTTGTTCTTTTCCTCTTGTTTTCTACTATCACCCATGCCAACCCATGGTCATTATTATGCTGAATGAGGCTTCAGAGTCAGACATTTGTTTTCCTAGTGTCTTTCCTTTGTTTTCTCAAAAACAAAGCATCTAGATTCTTTTAAAAATTTTTAGTGGTTTTATTCTGATGGGGAAAAAAGATAGGCATTTATATCAATAGCAAGCAAGAAAAATTCCAAATCCTAAGAAATATTTCATTTCTTCAATTACTATGCGTGATAGGCAGTTAATTTATTTGCTAAAGTTATAATTGAGGGCCTGTTGGATTCTTTTGACTCATTTATTCATTCATTCAGTGATGTCCTAATCATAGCCACAGGACTCCTATTCTAATACATACTTTAATTTTTGTGGCTGTATAGAAAATAAAGGATTCCACTTTTGATGACTGGAAGAATATTCGAGGACCCAGGCCGTGGGAAGATCCTGACCTCCTCCAGGGACGAAATCCAGAAATCCTGAAGACTAAGACAGCTTGACTATGCTGATTCCTTTTTTTTTTTTTTAACTTAAATAAAATGTTATCAGTGGAATTCCCAGTACATACTCGTATGTGGTGGAAAGAAAATTTCAGATCTGTAGAAGCCAGGATGTGAGTAATTTGATGACAGATAATCTTGATTAAAAAATCAAGTACAGGTTTTTTGCTTCCCAGCTCTGCCATTTGCAAATGAAAGTAACAGTGTCAACCACATATATTTAATACCATTCAGTAAAAAATAGGAACACTACTACTTACAAATTGTCATTTTTTTACACTCCCAAATATGCCCATATTCCTTTTCCACCAGCCACTGGGGCAACATTTTGATATTTCATTCTGATTCCTAATGAGAATAGTAGGTCTGGATCCAGCTTTTCATAGTAGCACCAAACAGTGATTTTATGTCAAACCTACCTAGGAGAGTACTATTGGCCACAGTGTGATAAGAATCTTGTTTTTATTCATAATATTTCACGTGGTATGCTAATCAGTCTCTGAAGCATCACTTTAATGATTGTATTGATACTATCAAAACGTGTTAAGAAACTTATATTGTTCCTGGTTGAAATAGAAGTGACAAAGTAGTATATATTATATACAGATACGGCAAATTTGTTTAGGCAATCTACAGTTGAATACAGTTTGGGAAACACTGATTTAAGGTGTGCTTTATACCTTGCATGCAAACTGACTGTAGTTTTTTTGTTGATTTTTTTTTAACTTTGTATTTGCTATGATCTAAATTAGAGATAGAGATAGAATTGATGAAAGTTATTTTGTATCAGGTTGGCTAAAAATTTGGTTTGGGTTTTTCCATAAGATGGCTCTAGTAGCGCTTAATCGTCTTTTAACTTCATTCAAAACGACTTTGTTAGATTGTGTTGTGATAGCTGTCATATCAACGTGCATTAAAAAAACAAAATTGGTGAATCTTTGTGTAGCCATTTTAATATTGAGGATGGAAGAAAATATGCAGCATTCTGAGCATGTTATGTTTTATTATTTCAAGAAAGGGAAAAACGTAATTGAAACACACAAAAAGGATTTGTGCAGTGTGTGGAGAAGGTGCTGTGACTGATAGAAAATATCAAAAGTTGTTTTCAAAGTTTCATGCTGGTGATTTCTCGCTGGACTGAACGCTCCATGGTCAGGTAGACCAGTTGAAGTTCATAGCGATCAAATCGAGACATTAATTGAGAACAAGGAACATTATACCATGTGGGAGATAGCTGACATACTCAAAATATCCAAATCAATAAAGTTATTGGTGAAAATGAAAAATGTGTCTTTTATTTTACAGAAAAAACTATGTGGACTTTTTGGTCAGCCCAATACAACCAGTCTGGAAAATGTTTTGGCTCTTTCTTTAAAAACAAAATAGGAGATTTCTAGTTTCCAGTTCAACGTGTAGGGACCTTGGAAATCATAACTTCCATCTTAACAGAGAGAAAAAAGCTGAAAAACTGAAAGTCCATGATTACTCTTTGATCCCTGAAAGAACTGAGGTCACAGGACAAAACTACCACCCTGAATCCTTGAGGCAAATACAGAAAATCACACTTTACATGGAGGGGAAATCACCACTGAGCCGGCATTAGGTGGGAATGATTTAAAGGGTGATTGACAATTACTGGAATCTGAGCATCAAGTAATTGGAGAGTTAAAAACTAGAGACCAGGCTGGGGTCACACCAAGTTCTCAACAGTGACTATCAGAGAAGAACCTGGTGTTTCCAGCAGGGAAGGGCTTAGTAATCATTCAGAAATGTCTGAATGCCCCTCCAAAATCGGTTCTCTTTAACAAAAGGCTGGCCTCAAAGGAAGCTCCTGGTATTTTGCTAGAGCCATATCACATTGGGTTTTACCAAAGGCTGACCAAATAGCGTAAGGGAAATAACCCAACTCCAGCCCCCTCTAGTTGTCTGTCTTAACTTAAATTGGGTTAGGGGAGGAAGACTGAGAAGGCGTCGTAAAGGTCACATCCCAGGGGCCCATGATCACTAAACGACTGAGACCTGATCATAAGATTATAGAATGTTCCCCTCCCTGTCCACATCCTTGCCACATCATTAAAGGCCAGTTCACTGGAATTTCCTTTACCCAATCCAGCGGGTATCCTGTCCAATACAGCAACAACAGCGAGAACTACAAGGCACACTAAAAGACAAAGCACACAGTTTGGAATACAAAACAAGCATTAGAATCAGCTTCATATATGGCAGGGATGCTGGAATAATCAAGACAATTTAGAGTAACAAATAGTCTTAGAATTCTAATGGAAAAAGTACAATTGCATTGTGCAAAAACAGATGAGTAATGTAAGCAGAGGTGGACGTTTTAGGAATCAGGAAATTCTAGAAATTCAAAGCATCTAGATTGAAAATAAGCAAAATGATCTCTGTTTGTAGATGACATGGTCCTGTGTATAGAACATTCTAAGAAATCCACTGAAAACTCTTATAAATAAGAGTGACACTTAACAGGTGTATTCACTTACAAGGGTGGCATTAGGATTTGGTAGGACTGTAAACTTAAGGGCCGAGGATGTTTCTTTTAATTATCTTGCCCAATCCCCTCTCTCCTCTCTCTACTACACCACCAGAGACGATGCTTTCTGAGCTGACCTGATGTGCAAGGTCTTTGTCCTGGTCTTTCAAGCTCCTGGTAAGAAACTAATACATGGATTTAAGACATTGATACTTTTTGCTTTTGAGAATCCTTGGGAGCATTTCAGATTATCCTGCATTTAATTGGTAAGGTTCTATCATCGTCTTTGAGTACCCCACCCTCAAGAAAAGAGCTTTCTAATCCAAAGTATTAGTAATTGTAAAATTACTAATTGTAAAATGTAAAATTTACTGAAGATTTCATAGAGAAGAGAAGGTTTGCACTGCACACCATGCCAGGAGTAAGTAACTTCAGAAATTCACTTCATAAATTCCTCTTTCCCACAAAATCCAGCCAATCCTCTTTTCACGTGGCAATTCCTCTGTGTAGGGTCCAACCTCAATGGATCCTGGTTTTTCTGTTTCTGGATCTTCTCTTGCTCAACCGATACCCTCCCTATACAAGCTCTCCTCTCCCCTTTCTTTCAAACTCTACTTTGGTGTGCACACCAGGTCAGCTTTCGCCCGGCTCCTGCGAAGCACTGCACTCCTACGGAGAACCTCTGCAAATAAGCCGTTTTCTGGGAAAGGGAACTAGTGAGGAGCCATATTAAGGGGCATTATCATATAAATTTAGTATATATATGCACTATCTTGGGGAAATTATTTAGCTACCTTTGTGCCTCAGTTTCCCCATGTCGAACATGGGAATGATAAAACAATAATGTAAAGCTCTTAGAACAATAACTGGCATAGTGATGCACTCAACAGATGTTAGGTATTATTATTAGAAGAAAGAATTATTAGTGATAACACAGTTCTTAACAAAATGTTACATCTAAAATAGTTTTTTAATGCCCAGTCATCTATTTATTTAATAGCAATTAATCTTGTGTGGAAACATGTACCTAAGTGATCCTATACGTCCCTTCTGCAAACCGTGAAGTGCAGTGGAGAACCATGCAAAACGATAGACCTGAACTGGAACCTTGGTTTTGTCAGTTTGTCAGACTGCAGACTAATCTTACACATGTAACATAACCCACTTGAGCCTCAGTCACTTCATTTGTGAAATGGAGTTTTGTAGTTGTCTGTGTCAGGCAAAGAAAAGATAGGTGATTAAGTAGTGGTTGTTATTATTACTGACCAGTAGATGGAAAATGATCTGTTTACAGATGATAAGCATTCTGTCTTAAGTCATTGCTTCAAATAATTTGGTGAAAAAAATACCTCTGGTTTGTTTTCTGCCTTTTGACCATTAAACAATGTTTAACCTGCTGGAAACATTACCAAACGATAGAATGAAAGTGGAGAAAGGTTTCTGAAGTGGGGTTTTCTATTTCCTCTAGATTATGAGAGGAAACTAGACTTGGGGGACCAAAAGGTGAGGGGACAGGACTTGGACCTGCGGTGCTCCCAGCGGAACTCTTCCCAGGGCGGGAAAGCCTTGCAGTTACCGCCTGACACCACCAGAGGGCGAACGAAGACCAAACAACACAGTTTGGGTACTTGACCACTTCCATGATCCAGCTTCGGTGCAGGGCTGCGCTCTGTCCCGTAGTCGCGCGTCCTGACTTGTTCTCTCTCTGCATTCTCCGCTTAGACACTAAGGCCAGGTGATTCCAGGCTGGGTGAATCGCCTCAGCTGCCTGAGCAACTGCATCCTCTTTGTGCAGGGCCGTCTCCCCAAGGAGAGGCTGATGTCTGCTGCCCAGCAGAACCATATCAGTCCCAGACTCCACAGAGAGGAGACGCAGGCGGCCATAGACGGGGAGGTCTTCCACATGTGGTGTTTTGAGGGGCTGTCAACCACCTGTGCCTGAGCTGGGCTCTGCTCTCTTCTTTCTGCCCTCATGCTTCTCGGTCAGCTCCCTCCTGTTCTTTCTCATCTTCCTTTTCCTTGCCCAGATATATTAACCACCAGAAGCTGGAGTTACTTTGCATCAGATGGCTCTAGGAAGTAATCAGATCCTCTTGCTGGTCCTTTGAACCTGCTCTTGCGCAAACACATCGACAGGGGTGCATCCACACATAGGTGCACCAGCCAGTGCCCCCATGGTGAGTGTTGAGAGGGAAGGGGCCCTGCAGGGCAGCAGCCTGGGAGGTGGCTGAGGCCTGTGCTCTGCACAGGTTGTCAGTCTGTATCTTATCCCCAGAGAGCACATTTACTCCTGTGCACTGAAGGGACAAGGGACAACATCTAGTAGTCTTGGGGTTGGGAGTGGATTTGACCAGGAGTCTCTTGGGCAAATCAAAGTTTTTCTCAAGCATTGGGAGAACAAGATGAGAGACTCCAAGCCCTGCACTGGACACTGTAAGAAGATGCCTGATTTTCAGAAATGCCAGTACTTTGCCAGCAAAGGCCCAACAGTGAGGTTCTTGAGGCTTGTCTGGTGATTTTTATGGCTGATTATATTGGAGTGTGACCCTTTTTAAACACACGGGAAAAAAATGTTGACAAAGCCTCTGTAAAGATGTGTACTCCTAACCGTTTCCTTGGACTGTACATTATTGTGAAGGTCCCAAAGGCAGTCTTCGTCCCCCTACCTGCGGGCTTCCCCTTTCCTGCTTCCTTTGCTACGCTATGTTAATTGCTTTTACCATGCACTCTCTCTGAGGTTCTGGAGTGTGAAGACCAGAGAGGCCTATACATACTGATAGCCAAGTGCTACACCATTCCAGAGGCTCAGTCCAGTTCCTGATGCGGCTCCAGAAACACTGCATACAGGGCCTACATTTATTAAAATGCCATAGTGTTAGAGAGTGTGAAATTGAGAAAGAAATGTAAAGATCACCCACTTTCGTCTAAGACCATTTCACACAAAGGGATGGTGAGGCCAGAGAAGAAAGGCGACTTGCCCAAGGTCACATAGCTGTAGTGGAAGATTTTGTACTGTAATCTAGTTACCATAATTTACCAGTTGAAGACTGTGTTGTTTACCCTTAGTTTAAAGGATTGGCTGGGAATCATTATTTTTTCCCCCAAAGGTGGTAAGTTCTGCTTGTCTCTATTTGTGAATATGGGTGAGAATACAAGCCCCTAAGAGCAGGTGCTATGCAACAGTGCTACATGTTAAAAAAATGTTTATTGACTGAATGTTTGTGAACAAGCATAAGGAGAATAGCCATAGGCAAAAACAGACAAGTCAGAGACACACTGGATTATGTTTGTTCCCGCGGTATGAAACCTGGTTGAGGGAGAGCATATCTGTATAAAGGATGTCTGTAAGCACCAAGTGTGCTGAGAGTCCAGCCTGTGATCCCGGGATTAGACTTAACCTCTTTGAGCTCCACTTCTTTACCTTCGTTTACATTAAGTAACTAGAGTAGATTTAGAGACTGTCCCAGATCTATGTCAGACCACAGGTCCCAAGGAGGAAATGGATTTCATAGGAAGGTCATCTTCTTTTGTGATACTGTGCTGTGTGTGTACATGTGGTGGGGGGGAAGGGAGTGGGTCTTCCTGGAACGTGTAATGGGTAGAGAGCAAGCATTCCCACCTTTTACCCTCCAATGCTTCTGGCTCCACTCCCAAATCCCAAGCCCCCTTTCTTCCTCTCCTCTGTTCATGAGGAATGAGAACTTGGAAAAGAGAAGGGTTCAGTTTTAAACTGCTTGTAGCTGGTGAAACAATCTTAAAATAACTCGTTTAAAATTTAAGTACCTAGCTGGCCAT